CTCCGCAACCATGAAATATTTAAACAAAGTATATTAAAATTTGATATTTTGATCAACTCCCATATAGTTTATAGTAATATTTGGTCGCCATATTTGGTCAAAGTGCGCATGTCCGTCGCCATCTTGTCCCATATTTCTGGTAATACTGAGGCCTTCTTTCATGATCGACGAGACTTTCATTCACTTTGAAATTGACTTTCTTTCATTCATTCAGGAAAATTGGTGCCCCTTCGTAACTTTTCATTGGGGGGGGGGGGAGTACACTCAGGGTCGCCGAGAGAATCTCCCGGGCCCGGGGCAAATCTCCCCGTGGGGGCCCATGACATCATTATTCTTAAGCTAGACCCAAACTAGACTGCACGTGGAGGTACTGTAAATCAAAAATCCTCAATTTCAAAAATGCTTTGACCAATTTAAAGAACCTACTTAATTTTAAGCTTTCGCTCTCAAGTTTGGGCCCTATTAACGTGGGGCCCCGGGGCAATCCCCCCCTCTGCCCTTCCCCTCTTGGCGGCCTTGAGTACACTTCACAGTGCCAGCCGACACGTCCCTGCGCCCAAACATAACCTTCTGGCGTTTTTGATCACATTATATATATTCACGATATAAATGCACTTGAAAATGTACAATAAACAAAATTGCATACACAAAAAAAAAACAAGTGCTTATTTTGTTCATAATTTCATTTCTAGGTACAAGTTGCTTCTTCGGGAAAACTCTGACGAAATTGAGGATGGTGTCGGTTCACTCCTGTCGGGTTCAATCACCCCTCAAGAAAATGGAAAGAGCGATTACGGGCGAAAAGACGGGACAGGAAATGACGCAACTGAAGAAGCCGCGCAGGAAACCGAAGAAAATGATAAAAACAGTTTGCAAGAAAAGACCGCAGGCCCAACCGAGTTTGGAATTGCGAGACAATCTGATGAGCCCGCAACATTTTGCTCAGCGTTGACGGACATGTTCACAAAGTTCGAAGTGAATGTTCTTATTTACTTGCTGTTCTTTATGTATATCACTCACACTTGCTTGCAAGGAATGACCCCTTTGGTGGCAGAACGGATATTAAAATGGAACGAGACCAAAGTCAGTATCGTCTATACTGTTTGGGAATTAGAGATTATTGCCGTTCTGATCGTCGTTTGCTTGGTGTCGCCGAAAATCGCCGACCGCGTTATCCTACTGTTAGCGGTCATATGCGGTTTCCTCGCATCAGTGAGCCTGATCGTCCTAACCTACTCCACCCCTGAGAGTAAACTTTGTTACTACAGCTTTTTGGTGACCATATTCCTTGACGGGGTAGGCATATCAATAACAGCTGTTGTCGGACGGTCACTAGTGTCCAAGCACACGCGGCCGGAGAATCAGGGAGTCGTTCACGCTATCCTTACGTCATTTAACCGATTGGCCGGTCTTCTAGGCCCAATATTTGGCAGTAATTTGTATAGACATAAAACTGTTATGGACATGGGCCATTCGATCGTAGGCGTACAATTTTTTGGTTTAATATTACTGACCGCGGTGTTTGGACGTTTGAAAGTTGTAAATATTAAGTCGTAGTACATTGGTAAAAAGAATTTGAGATTTGATTCAGGTGGCTTTTGCAAGTCTGAGGAAACTAAGTATAACAAAAAGATCGTGTAGTTCTAGTTTGCTGAAAACAGCCCTCTTTTACTTCACGATACAACTAGTCATATACGATTCTCATTATATAGTCTGCGCGCAGGCTATTCTTATCCTGGCGTATCTACTCAAATAAATGCGTGTATTAAAGATGTCAGATTTCAAATTTCGGCATTTCGGGGGGGGGGGCACCAGCTTCCAGAGGCACTTTTAGATATTGAAAAGGGCACCTAAAAAATTTTTCTCGGAAATGTTTCCCGTCATGCCATACCGAAATTGCGCGTTTTTAACCAAATTTCCTTTTAAAACATCAAAATTTCCAAACAAAAGGGGCACCTTTGATGTTAATTTAGTATTTACAGAGACATTAGCTTGTACAAAAGGGCAATTTTCATCACAAAAAAGGGCACTTTTGGTCCTTGCAAAATTGCCCGCGTGAACGTCAATCTTAAGGTTTCTATAATCTATAAATTGAAATGATAGTCTAGATGGCATGGCCAGAATTACGGACATGAATTTTCTACTAGCTTCTTTATACTTTTACTTCTACTTCAAGTATCTTGAAAAAATAATTGGTATATACTTCTTATATTCGAGGACGTTTTAATAGTAGTACTTTTTACTCTTACTTAAGTCATTTAAAGGAAATTATTTCTAATTCTACCTACAGAATTAAAGCAATTTAGTCATTGATCACGAGACTCGGCTGGATTGGGCAATCACAGCTTCTGTGAACAGTTAAATATGATAGATAATAATAATATGAGCTTTAATATCCATTTTAAACTAAAAATACAATGAATTTATACAGAAATCACTAAAGCATATATATAACAATATCAAATAATTATATATATATATATATATATATATATATATATATATATATATATATATATATATATATATATATATATATATATATATATATATATATGTATATATATATATATATATATCTTAACATTAATTATTGCTACTCAAGATATATCTTAACATTAATTATTGCTACTCAAGTTTCACGCCGACGATCTTCAGGCAATTAATTCAGTTCAATATATCTTGCTCTACTATAATACTAGTGTTGAGCACTTTATTATCTACTACAACAAAACAAGTTATATATATATATATATATATATATATATATATATATATATATATATATATATATATATATATATATATATATATATATATATATATATATATATATATATATATATATATATATGTATGAATAAAATTGAATTATTCAATGCTTGAGCGGGGGGTAAATTGTTTTTGTACTCCGGCGAAAATATTGTAGTCAGCGAAAATATTAATAGTTTTGGCAAAAATTTTGGTAAATTTACGAAACTGATTACGAAAAAAGCTAACAAATTACGATATGTCCGGGAAAATTTTCGTGTGTCCGGAAAAATTTTCGTATGTCCGGAAAAATTTTCGTATGTCCGGAAAAGTTTTCGATCCCCCGCTCGCCAACAATTTAGTTGTGGAAAAATATTAATTAGCGACTGAAATGCTGTGGGCAAATGCGATACTACACCCTGCCCCCCCCTTCTTTATCCTCTTCGCCACGACTCTGATTGAATATACAATAGCTAAAGTCAGTAAAATGTACTAGTAGATATGGCTATAACTTGTGTTAATTTATTTTAAAGAATAAATTATGTCTTCTGGTGTGAGAAAATATATGGTGTCGGGTACGTCCTACATACAGTTCTAAGATCACAAAGATTGGTTTTAACAATAGGAACGAGTTTATTACATATTATATTTATAACATGAATGTGTCACATCTTTAATTTAAGGAATTTTTCATATTCTGTAATAGTACAGTATTCTCGTCGCTGCGAGATCGATTATAAAAAGCCTGTGGTATTATACATATGATGCCAGGGACCGCTTTTCGTGTCTTTGGAATTTTAATTATATTGTCATCAAAATGTGAATACTTTCGACTGAAAATCATAGTCATCCTAATTACATATTCATGCTGAAAGGAATACCTTTCTACCACAGAACAAATAGGGACAACTGTGTCTACGCCGCTCTGTGACATATTTACACAGGGTTTAAAATTAACTTGGCAGGATAATGCAATATTTTCGCATGGGCTTCGACCATGCTCAAAAAATCTGGCACGTGACATGATTTGAGCCAATCGGGCGAGTCCCCGTTGCGGGAAACCATGGACGACCACTAGAATTCGAAAGTATCAAACTCAGATAATTTGAATTTATAATACATGTACTAGAATAACAATATTACAATTTGACAAATGTAAACACAAGTTAGCCAGCCATGAATCAGTTCACTTGCTCTGTGTGATTTTATACTTTGTTAAAACCTTTTCTGAAGTATATTTTCGTATCGAGGTACCGACTGATTGAAAATGTTCCCATAGAAACGTATGCCACCGACAGATTCGCCGAGTCTAAATACATAATACTGTATCTGGTTTATATATAAAGACACTTGTTACGCAAATAGCAATAATATTCATTATGTGACATAATTCCGCATAACAAATATCGAGTATCTTCGATAGCGAAAGGATATCGGCTTTGAAACGGAGGAAAATTGTGACACAGAACTCGGACCTTCTCACAGGTGAGTTAATACATATCATTTACTGTACAAACTTGTTTAAATTTCGTGCTGTGATACAATACATAACGCATAATTAGGAAGAATATGTTCATAACGCGTTTATTCATGTAAAATATTTTCCTCGATTTAAAATTCGGCTGCGATAAGGATAAAGTAATTATATCATTTAAGCCTCTTGCGAGACAGTGGTTAAAATTGTGCTAGCCTAATCATAACACGAAGACGGTTGGAAGTCATATTTCTTCTTCCTCAAAAGCGAAGGTAAGCAGACGAATTCGTCAGTCATATATAGATAGATTCGCACGGTAATATATTGTAATCCTACGCTTCACCTAACTGATAAGTAGAATGTTTTCGTACGCCAATTATAAAAAAGTCTTTATAACATACTGTTTGTGGTATAACATTTAAAAACGTTAAAGTAAAAGTATACTTCATTCGTTAAAATACAGCTTTTTATGTAGTCTGTACACCTCAGGCTCAGTAACGAAAAGAAGGTTTTAAAAAATAACCGTATTTCTCCGAGTTGTATAAGGTAAGAAGATATGGTGTCTTCATGCAGGAACACTACGATTATGGAGCAGTGAAACGATTAAAATGTCTCCATTCTTATCGGAATATTGGCGTGAAGTTTTAAAAGTGTTCAGGTTATTTTAGTCAAACCTTTTATAATTGAAAGCTTTACGTTGAAAATGGACGGAATCGAATTAGCCCTCGATTTTGGCCAAACTGAATTGAAAGATTGGAACGTGACAGGCCAACCGATACAGATTACAGTCCAAAAGTTTCGACGTATAATATTTACAGTTAACACAGCAAGCTAGTACATATTTTATTGTATAAAATGGAAAACTACTAAAGCTATCCAAATCATGCATTGTAGCCATACATCCGAATATGGTGACTTTGTAGATAACTTAGATTACACTGTACAGGCTCGCGTAGAGGTATATATAACTATATAAACCGTCTCTAAACAATGTTCCAAAATTTACCACAATTAGACTAGTCCACATTTTTTATTACCTATATGATCATTCTGTAGCCAACACAAAAGTACAAGATGCTAAAGCCGTATAATTAGGATATTGTTAGACTGCACTTTAATGCCAAGACTTGGCAATCACGCGTGTTTCAAAGTCTATATTTTTAGCGCGATTTAATGCATTTATGCGATTAGCAAATTTCCATCTCATGAATCACATGGTCCTTTACATAATCCTGCGTTAATTTACCAATACTTTCAACAAAATCCCCTGTTCAAACGAGAATGAAAGTTGATGAAAGTTGGCAAGCGAGAGTTTGCGTGAGAGCTTCATCAACTCCAATATGCGCCGGTCGAACGAGAACAAGAGTTGCATGACGGAGTTCATGACAGTTGACTGGATATTACTTGTCAAACGAGCAAAAATTCTCGTCAAAATTTGAACCAGCTGGTAAATTGACGAGAGTCATGAGAGTCGATCGGTCCGATGAGGCCCCGGATTGGCGATGAACGCAAGCGAGGTTTGCAACACTCATCAAGAATATCACTCATGCGGCCATTGTTTTTGACTTTCAAAATAATTACCCCGCGTCACGTTTGTTGTACATGGAGGCGGGGAAGTATTTTATTCAGCTTAATCTTTTCTCATTATAACCACAGTAAGTTCCTCTTTTTGTCTCACAAATTGAACAAACATTATATAGAAGCCCGTGCGTTTAAACTTCAAGTCTTGAACTGAGTTGAATTGCCTATTACGTTTGACATATTATTTTCGTCGTAAAAAGAGAACGTTGGAGTATAAAAGCTCTTTAATGCAATGGCCCAGACACTGAACGCCGCGACGGATCCGCTATCTTCACTGACAGATCCTTAATTAGCCCTGATTCAGTTTCACTGAATACTAGTGGAAGCGCTAAAACGTTTTGAGTTTTTTGGTCTATAGATGATTTTGAATATTTCGTTTTAAATATACGGTTTTATTTACTTTCATATACTGAGAAATGGAATCACGTCCGATGAAAGGCCTTTGTTTGAAACGTATAGATATGCTTTGTATATTTTTTTAGGAAGTTCCGTCCTTCAGACTTCAGCTATCTGTCAATATCAAGGAGTTCATTTGACTCTCATGTAGTGGAGTTTTTTTATCCAAAGTGAAGAGTAAAATTTGCCGCTTCAAAATAACTCCACTGCACGAGTAAAATTCACTCCCTGAAATTAATAGCCTTGTAGCCTTAGTATCGCTATATACCTACACCGGCACTTAACGTAACAGCTTATAAGTCGATATGTCCACTGTGTTCAAACATTATAAGTCGATATGTCCACTGTGTTCAAAGGGGAACAGGCGGGTGAACAACATCTTATATCTGCTGTAAATGCCAACAAATTAAGAGCATGCAAACTGGTGCGCAAATGCATTGATAATGACATTTGTGATATTTTTAAAACTTACTTCACAATGCAGCAACATGGCAGAGAAACAAGAAACAATAACAATATGATAAAGCTACCAGCGATTAAAACTGAGTATGCTCGTAAATCTTTCTATTTTATGGGAGCTAAGATTTATAACGACCTACCTATAGAATTAAGAAAGATTGAGAACAATCCGGATTTTGAGAATAAGGTTACGGAACATTTTAATGAATTATAAACGGTTTTAAATATGGTATATAAGAATTAGTTCTTAATGTACATATAGTTTTTAGAGTTTTTTTAGAGTTTTAATTTTAATAGTTAGTTCTTTCTAGACTTTTTAGGATAACAGGACACACATTGATAACAGCTTTTTTAGTTGAAGTGTATTATCCTGTATAAATATTCGTATTAAACTTAAACTTAAACTTAAACTAACAGTTTTTAATATGTATAGCTAGTGATCAGCCTGACTTCGTGACTGTGATTTGTCTGAGCGATTTCGATCTTAACCCAGACCGAACAGCGAAAAATGGAGCTCTATCCCGTCTTTGTTCTTCTACCATCGTTCAGAACGACATTCACGACGAATTTTGCCAAAATATTCGTTCTGAACGAAGAGTAGCCGAACGAAGACGGGTATGGTAAGAATTGGGGTCAGCATTCAGGGACGCCGGAACGATGTGAAGGCAGGGGGGGCAGATTTTCGTGAAAGGGCACTTTTGAATTGATATATACTAAGAGATGTTTGCAAAACATCGGGAGTTGAACTTCGCCTAATCATGTTTTCTATTTATTGGATGATAGGGGTGTGAGGGGGTTCTCCGCCAGGCGATTGTGCTATTCTTGAAGCTCGATGACTGCATTTCTTGCGTTTTCTGAAGCAAATTCGTGAAAGAATTGCACTAACATTTCTGACAATTCGCTATTTCGCCAAGGCAATCTTTTAAATTGAGAGGGCACCTTTGCCTCCCTTGCCCCTCCTGGTAAAGGGCAACGGGGGCGACTGCCCCTCCTGCCCCACCAGTTCCGGCGTCCCTGTCAGCATTCATAAGCTGTAGACATGAATCTATAACCTGTCGTTGAAAAACCACACTGAGCCGACTTCGAAAATTGTCAAATACATCTTCGTACTAGGTTGTCTCAATTGCTGAAACTCTAAAAATAAACTCTCTAAAGTCTAAACAACTCAATTAAGCCTGGTCACACTAGCAATTTTGTCGGCGCTGACGGATGCAAATGAACGAACTGGCACACAAAAGTATAGAGTCTCTTCAGCAGTAAACAATGGACCATTCCCCCATTAACCAAAATTTTGATCTCAACAAGTCTAGACAAAATTCCATCATAGCATGAAAAAGCATCACAAAATTAGTAATATTCCAAAGTTTCGTTGCAAAATGTTGTAAAATGCGGATAATATAGCCTTGCGAAATTTGCAATTTTCAGTCATTTTAGATTACAAACGAGAAATGGTTACCACTTTTCCAAAATTTTGATTTTAACTAGCCTAAACGAAAATTTCATCACAGCTTGAAAGAGCATCACAAAATTAGTAATATTCCAAAGTTTCGTTGCAAAATGTTATAAAATGCAGATAATATAGCCTTGCGAAGTTTGCAATTTTCAGTCATTTTGTATTACGCACAGAAGTGGTAACCATTTCCCGTTTGTAATCTAAAATGACTGAAAATTGCAAACTTCGCAAGGCTATATAGCCAGTATATTATCCGCATTTTACAACATTTTGCAACAAAACTTTGGAATATTACTAATTTTGTGATGCTCTTTCAAGCTGTGATAAAATTTTTGTCTAGACTTGTTGAGTTCAAAATTTTGGTTAATTAATTGGGGAATGGTCCATTCTAATTAAGTCTATTGCATGTCTTTTATACTCCATCACATTTGCCAGGAGAGAAAAATCGCCGACAGATCAAGAATTGCTAGTGTGAACCAGGCTTTTCATTCATATGAATACGGCCAATGTCATAATTGTTATTCATCACTTTGAAAACTGATTGTTCTCGAATGATACAAATTTTAACGATCTGTGTCGGAGGCGTAGGAGGTAAACAAAACACAAGAAAACTGCAGATGGATATGGATTTATAAACTATCTGAAAAATACTAGTAAAACCTCGACCTGGCGAGCAAATTAGGCCCTTCGTCGTGAACTTAATGTTCTCGAATGTGATTGCCAGTGTTCGAGACAGCGGTTTTGATCTGTGTTTATCTGAAATTATAATATGCAAACTGAAAGGGGAAGTTGATATTATAGTCTCAAATTGTATACTTGTCATAACCTGTCGCATAATTTATCGATAATGAAAGGTTTTGTGATTGTCATGCAAATGATTTCACACCAGTGTCTATAAAGAGGGAAGCGCCCACTCGTTTGTGGCTTTGTTTGGTTCTAGTGGAATTTTGCTGAAGGAACTTTTTCGGCGCATTTTAATTTTTAATATGTGAACACTGATCTGAGTGGGCCTGCACAATGCCATAGTGTCCTTGCGATAACTTCATTAACAGATATAAATAATTGCGTGTTCATCTGCATGTCTGCCTAAAGATAAACACTCAAGCCAGATGAGATCCCACTTATGCAGGCTTTAGGCAGGATCTTTGGTCAAGATATTTTTTACTTCCTACCACGCGAACGGTATGAATATTTTTTACTGAATTTGACCTATAGTTGAGAAATTTGTTCCTTTTATTATTTGGCTCATTCCCCGTCGCCATCAGGGCTTTTCAGTGACCGGTTACATCAAGTATTACGCTTACTTATGTTAACTGGAATGCTACCTCATCAACCGGAAATTTGAAGCCAACCTTGAGGGCCTGTCCCAGTCTTTTCACGCACGCGAAGAGCGCGATCAATCCGTCAACATGAACATGTATTCTTGAAAACTGGCTTAAAGGACATTGGCAATAAAAAATTTGTTCAGTTCATTTGAAAGAACTCTTAAAACTATATATCAAACTCTATTACAGATTTTTATATCTTGCTTACTTTTCAAAATATTTCGATTGAAAAAAGTAAGCGGATTATTGAGGATATGCATGTTACGTCAACAGAGGGTCACGCTAATTTTTATCATGAGAGTGAGCGATAAATGTGGGTCCAAAACGTCGTTTCTGGTTGCTGTCTGAAATTTAGAAATGATTAAAAACATTGCAAACAAATTTGGATTGTTACTCGGTCATTTTAGAGTAGTTTTATATGCAGGTTCAGCCAACTCCTGACGTCATCAAACTCATAGTGAATGATGTCAAGAATTAGTCCAAGATGGTGGACAGCTCATTAATTTCGGTCTACTGAAATATTTCGAGAACTAAGCAAGATATGACAAATCGGTAATAGAGTTTAATATATAAGTTTAAGAGTTCTTTTGAAGCAGAGAAACTATTTTTTATTGCCAATGTCCTTTAAAATTATTGTTCCCATGCCAGTATAGCTTTGAGTGGCTATGTTCCCAGTATGGCTATGTTCCCACTATGGTTCCAAGTATCGTTCCTATACAATCGGCTTAAAAGTTAATTTTATGCACTTTTCATGTTAATATTTGTTCAAATATATCAGGTGTTAATGTGTGTTTGTGTCTTTAAATATATGTTATAACTATTGTTGTCTTTCTTGGGATGCATGGTCTTCAAGAATATGGGATTCTTGTGCTGTTGACTATATCTTCAACCTTATTAGTCTCAATCCATGTGTATAACCTTAAATTTATTATCTATTTGTTCATGTATATTCAATTCGTTGTAAAGTTAAAGGTAGGGTACAGTCCGTAGGTAAACAAAGCCTTTGTTTACATTTCGCTGGCAAAATATTGAACTTTATTCGACAACTATTTATATTTTCATGCTTCTACAGTATAATAAATGATAAAGATACAACAATCAGGCTTTGCAAGAACATAAAATGAAATAAAATCCTAATTAAAGTGTTATATCACGGCAGGAGACTCCTATGTGCGCATGCGCAGGCCAGACTGTACCCTATCTTTAATAAAGAAATTAATAATGTACATGAAAAAATGTCTCAATTCTGATTGCCTAAGAGGAGTGCAATGTTTTCGAAATACAGTGCCGCCAAAAACTGAAACTATAAGGCAGTGCCAAAAAATGAAATACAGTTCGTGCAAGTTTCATTGCCTATAAGATACAGCTATTTCTAGCAGAGAAAACAATAAAGAACCCCAAACATTTACAAGTGACGTTTTTAGTGGATTTTCTATTGAAATTATTTATATTAAAATTAACTATTTCGCATGTGACCTACGCACGCATGTGACTGCATAATTTTTTCATGTATATTAATAATAAGTAATAGTATGGTTTCTCGTGCAATATGAAAAAAAACATACACTGGTTAGTTTTCAAAGAGTTACGCCCGTATTCTAAAAACTCACTCATACTCACACTTCGATGAGTGGAGGTTCAATATGAGCTTCTCTTGAGTGTCAATGCCGTTTTTGAATAGCTGGAGGGTGAGCAGTCACATAGTAAGGTATGACACTAGCCCTCCAGCTATTCAAAAACAGCAATGACACTCGGAGTAAGCTCACATTGAACTTCCACTCATTCATTGTGAGTGAGCTTTTAGAATACGGGCGTTCAAATTGCACTGGTCCTTCGGACTCATTTGTCGGATCAGTTCTGTAATAATTACGTAATTATGTAAGTATTACCACAGCTCATTTTGAGTGCATGCGCATTGTAACGTCATTTGTGTGTTCCCGCCTAGATATTCGAGTTGTTCTGTTCTCTATTAAATTAACCCACTGTCTTTTCTATTTCAGACAACTGCTTCTTTGCACGATTTATGACGTTACAGCACGCGATCAATTACGGTGTTTCTTACAAAAATCGCGGCAAGAATATGGAAAGCATCACTTTTGTGCAAAAACGCAACTTGACCTTGTTCGCATTCTCCATGCGAATGTTATTCATGGGCGTTGAATATGCGGTCATATTTCCCTCCGTTTGGTTGTATCTGAAAATGTTCCACGTCGATTATTGGTATCTTGGGTTGGTGTTATCTGCTTATAATATGGTAGGAATTGTATCCACTATCCTGGTTGGCAGGCTAGCTGATGCGACGAGGAGGATTCGTCTGACCGGATTCATTTGGAATTTGACTGAAATTGCGGGGAATTTTGTGTACGCGATGCACTTTAATGTTACATTACCTTTGTTCGGTCGAATGATTGCGGGTTTTGGAGAGGGGTACATCTCCGCTATGTGGGGGGAGTTGGCCCGTGTCACGACGAAGGAACAACGAACACGTTACTTTACCATCCTCAAAGGCAGCAATCTTCTTGGGGCGGCCATCGGACCTGCATTGAACTTATTTCTGAAGGAATTCAATTTCTACATCGGAAGTTGGCATATTGATTTTCGAACGTCGCCTGGTTTCTTTATGGGCGTGGTCTGGGTCATTGTAACTCTAATCATGTTGGTGTTTGTCTACGATCTTTCGTCGGAGATGAAAGCCAGGCCTGGGTATGGATATTAATATTTTTTATCTCCGCTTGCAGGCTAAGTTTTCGGCCATACATTTTATACATTTATTAAGACCTATACCAGGTGTAGCTGCAAAAAATGCAACGGTATGCCCTCTGACGGGAATAGAACCTGCGGCCCTGCGATTCCGGTGCAGTGCTCTAACCAACTGAGCTACAGAGTCGTGTTGTCGAGATGTAAACTACCTAATCACAAGTTAATGCGCATATACTTAGGTGATGCCATGGTAGGATATATGGCTGACTTCTTACCTCTGCTGCACAAGTTTGTGGTCGAGCATGGCTCGCGAGCAACGACAATGAAAACGTCAAATATTTACCAGTAAATGGATCAGTTCAATTTAGCTATGAGACAAATTGTTTGTTGTTTGGTATAGTTCAACGTTTTATCGCTTGGATACTTGTCGTTTCTAGTACTATAGTCAGATGCTTTATCATAGTGTTCCCGTTCTTTTTCGATTTGGCTTTCTTGTGTTTGATGCAATTATCGTATCCTTTTTCGTATTTGTCTTTTTTGTGTTCAACTTTGTAATTTTTACACAAAGATTGTATTTGTATTTTTGTCAATTGGAAGCCCCCTTGATAAGCCTTGGCTTTTTGGGCAAACATATTAATAAAGTTTATATGAAAAAATAAATATCAAGATTTTTGGGCATCTCACTGTAATCTTTCGGCAATGTAAGTTCAATCGAGTGAGATATGACCAAGCATTACGGAAAAATTACCCATGTGTCCCTAAGCTCAAGAAGCAATACAGTCTTTATTGCCAGTATGCCAAAAATTCCTTTGTCTAATATAATTTAGCATGCGCAACGGCGCTAAGGGAGTGGTATAATTCGCTCAAAATATTACTTAACGTCTGCTCCGAAGGAAAATAGTTATAATTTTGCTTCCCGAGAGTCACACATACATTATGTGTTTAATTTTGTTATATAGCGACAAAGAAAAAAACATTTACAGAACAATTATATTCCATCAATAAAAACTCTTCAGTATAAATTATTTTTAACCATCAAAAAACCTGTTAAAAAGTGTTTGTGTAGCATTTCCAGTTGCCGTATTTCCTTCACTGCTCTTCTGTATTCCTTTTGTAAACTGCTTGAAAATCTTTCTTTCTAAAATTTTGACTCCATTTCAGTCGAGTATTTATTTACGTAGCCGGTTGGGTCGACTTGGAGCGGGTAACAATTTTTCACTTGTTGCCCGGCGGGATACATTGCATTTATCCGGATTCACGTCGCCAAAAATCAGAGATTGGATACCTCCACAAACAATCTAGCTATAGAATGTGCTAAAATTGCTTCTATCAGGGATCCCAAGTGTGGAGGACAGAGGGGCAACTTGCCTTGGGCCAACAGCCTGACAGCGATCGGACTTTTCATTTGAGATGATACCAAAAAATAATTTTTTGGAACAAGACTTGGGCCTTCAAGACTTGGGCTTTACTCGGGCCTTCTTTCAAGTTCAACGAGACTATTTCATTCTGAAATTAAGATTTTTCTGATAAATTGGGAACCCTTTCATGACTTTTCATTGCGAGGGGGGCGGGGGGAGGGGGGGAGTACACTCCACAATTCACAGCCGATACGTCCCTGCGCGCAAACAGAACCTTCTGGTGTTGTTGATCATGTTATATATATTCACGACATATAATACACTTGAAAATGTATAATAAACAATCTTGCATATACACAAGAAACAAGTGCTTATTTTGTTCATAATTTCATTTCAAGATACAAGTTGCTTCTTCAGGAAAACTCTGACGAAATTGAGGATGGTGTCGGTTCACTCCTGTCGGGCTCAATTACCCCTCAAGAAAATGGAAAGAGCGATCATGGGCGAAAAGACGAGACAGGAAATGATGTAGCTGAAGAAGCCGAGCAGGAAACCGAGGAAAATGATAAAAAAGGCTTGCTAGAGAAGACCGCAGAACCAACCGAGCCCGGAATGGTGGAACAATCTGACGAGCCTGCAACATTTTGCTCCGCGATGAAGGACATGTTCACAAAGTTCGAAGTGAATGTTCTTGTTTACTTGCTGTTCTTTATGTATATCACTCACACTTGCTTGCAAGGAATAACCCCTTTGGTGGCAGAACGGATGTTAAAATGGAATGAGACCAAAGTCAGTATCGTCTATACTGTTTGGGGATTGGAGATTATTGCCGTCCTGATTGTCGTTTGGTTGGTGTCGCCAAAAATCGCCGACCGCGTTATCCTACTGTCAGCGGTCATCTGCGGTTCCCTCGCATCGGTGAGCCTAATCGTCCTATCCTACTCCACCCCTGAGAGTAAACTTTGTTACTACAGCTTTTTAGTGACCATATTCCTCGGCGGGGTGGGCATATCAATAACAGTTGTTGTCGGACGGTCACTGGTGTCCAAACACACGCGACCGGAAAATCAGGGACTCGTTCACGCTATCCTTACGTCATTTAACCGATTGGCCGGTCTTCTAGGCCCAATATTTGGCAGTAGTTTGTATACACATAAAACTGTCATGGGTTGTTTGATCGCAGGCGTACAATTTCTTGGTTTAATATTGGTGATTGTGGCTTTTGGACGGTTGAAAGTTGTAAATAAGTCGTAATATATTGGTAAAGGGAATTTGAGATTTGATTCAGGTGGCTCTTGCAAGTCTTAGGAAACTAACGCTTGTATTGTAAAAGCTCACTTTCATTCACATACAGAGAGTAGAGGTTCAATGCGAACTTCCCTTAAGTATCAATGCAATTTTTGAATAGCTGGATGATTAGTGTCGTCGGCCCTTACTATGGGCGCTTTCCATTAACACGGCCAGACCGGTCAGAACGCTCAAATTGTTGAATGGAACACAAAACGTTTGGGCTCGGATCTATCTGACCGGAAAATTTAGATAAAATTAGAATGAGGTCCATTTTCGCTAGATATTTGAGAAACATAGGCCAGATCTTTCCATTGATACAGAGAACAATTCTGGTCTGATCGGTCAGGTCATTAAATGGAAAGCGCTCCATGTGACTACCCCCTCCAGCTATTCAAAAACAGCATTGACACTCAAGGGAAGCTCAGATTGAACTTCTACTCTTTGAGTGTGAGCTTTTAGAATACAGGCGTAAGTCTAACAAAAAGATCCTGTAGTTCCAGTTTGCCGATTGACCCACGATCTTATCCTGGCGTATGTACTCAAACAAATGCGCGTAAAGATGTCACATTTCGCCATAGATTGATGAACTGGAATAGTTGCATCAATTCATATACGCCACAACTGGTCCTATCGTGTAAACGGGCCTTTTGGTGCATTACGACCTATTTACACGAACGGCAGACCGCAAACTTAAAACCGGATTTTTGAAATCAACTGTTAGCTGTTCGACGTTGGATGAGCTACTTAGCTTTGGACGACAAAATAAATTAGATTTGAAGTTTGCCATTTGCTGTTAGCGGTCTTCCATGAACGTCAATCTTAAGGTTTCTATAATCTATAAATTGAACTGATATTCTGTCTACACACGTAAAAACGCACAAGTTGTAACAAACCTGCAGCAGACTTGTAGCAATGCTGTTCCAACAACTTGTCAACAGGATGTGTTCGCACTGCTTGTTCCCAGCTTGTTGACAAGTTGCAACAACTTGTTATCCTGCTATTCAACAATTTGTCAACAAGTTGTGAGTGACAACCTTGTAGCAACTTGATAAAATAACAACATTGTTACAACTTGTAGTGACAAGCTTGCTGCAAGCCTGTTGCGAACACATCTTGTTGACAAGTTGTGAGATTACTAGCTACTTGTAGATCGTTGTGCATCAATACATTTTAGTTTTTAATAACTTGTAAGTGCCTAAATGATTTGGTTCCAGTATATCTAAGTGATTATTTTGTTAACAGCAGAAGATTAGAAATATCGAGATAAAGATATAAAGAGATCATCGTTTATCATGTTACTAATTATTAAATCTTTCCAAAAAACCTTTGCATTTTCGTACACAGAGTCCTTGATTTGAATCCGGTTTTGCCTTATTTCGAGTCCGGGTTTTCAAAAGTCAAGTCCGGGTTTTGTTAAACACGAGTCCGGATTTTCTTCGAGTCCGGGTCCGGGTTTTTTCTCGAGTCCGGATTTTCTTCGAGTCCGAGTCCGGGTCCGAGTCCGGTCCGGGTTTCGAAGTATGCCGATTTTTACATGGCCAGAAATCACGGACATGGATTTTCCACTTCGTTGCTGATTTGCATATAATTGATATGCACAACCCGTTGAAATATGACTTCTGCAGTAAACAGTAAATTAGTTATAAGTTCTTTGTATCTTTGCATAGCGATAAAATATATAATAGTTTTGTTTGTGGAAACACCACCTAAATTTATTACTGCATGCGCAAAGCTTTCGATCCGTAAGCCCGGATCTTCATCAGTGCTAATAATATTCACGTGATATGACATATTATTAGCACTGATGAAGATTCGGGCTTACGGATCGAAAGCTTTGCAGTAATAAATTTACGTGGTGTTTCCAAAAACAAAACTATTATATTATAGTAAATCGCAAAATCATAGAATACGGTAGGTCGTTTGCATTTTTCTTCAATTGCTGGTTGCAGAACAAAGTCAAAGGAAATTTTAGTGTATAATGTTTGCCTGGTGTAAGTTATTACTGCCTATTCTGCATTTTCGTTTGTTCGAATAGTGGTGGTATAGTTGCGGTATTCTTATACAGAGTTAAAGCCTCACTCTGGTTCATACTAGCAATTTTGTGCTTCTGAAGGATGCAAATGAGTGAATTCGCACATAAAAGTATAAAGTCTCTTCAGAAGTAAACAATTCTAAATCTTTTGCATGTCATTCATTCGGATCACATTTTCCAGGTGGAGAAAAATCGCCGACAGATTGCTAGTAGTGTGAACTAAACAGGCTTGAATTGAAAAATGTCGTAAAAACTTGCCTCTGGACAAATATTGAAATTGCTGAATGAGCAGTAAATGAAATTAGCCCAATATTACACCAAATATTTCGACAGACTTTGAGTTTTGCAGCCCGGGATTGAGGCAAGTTCCAAAGGACCTATACTTTATTCTCAGATCGTGCGATTAACAACGTCGCGTTCTATAATTCACTGTTTACTGTTGAAGCTATATTTCAACGTAGATAGCGCATCTCTTTTGGTAAAATTGAAGCCAAGAATATTCCAGCGGTTACCCCCATTGAATAGATGGCGGCCATGTTGAAGTTTCCCACTCGCTAATAAACGCTTAAAAAACAACAATAACTTTCATCATTTGAATAGTTTGAAAATGTATTTGGAATAGGTTTAACTTAATGTTTAAGTTCCCTGTTTATAAGAATAATAGAAAACATACGAGTCTTCTCATTTCATGGGAATATCCTGAGTCTGCAATCACGGCTTCAATTTTTGAATTGCAGAATAACTAGATGCACTATCTAGTGTATATATAAGATATCTATGGAATTACCAAGGAATTATACGTAGAATAAATCATGTCCTCGTGATTTCTGGCCATGATTGAAAAAATAAAGTCCCCAAGACAGCATGCACGAGAAGGCAGTTCCCCTTCAAGTTTTTCCCAATACAAACACGTACGTACAGCAGTACGTATTTAACTCATATATATAACGCTTCGATGATTCAGTAAATATTTTACGAAACAGTTGAAAAGAGGAATTGGTTTATTTAGTAAACAGTTGAAAAGAGGAATTGTTTATTAATCAGTTACGCACCACTTTTGGCTTGCGGAGTAGTAATATGAAAAATATAGTATTCCGAATAAATTTCGAAAACTTACTAAATCAAATTTCAATGGAAAGATGCGTAATTTACTTCTGCTCATTTAGGAGATTGGGTACGATTATGTTTACATATCTACTACAATTAAATTGATGGCTAAACAATGATTCAGTTTATAATTGATGTGGATTATACACGGGTGAACTCAGTGCATTTCTATTTTGAACTGTTAGAATGCATGGACTCACTGGTGAAGCTCTGAAAAGTATTACGTCTCGGATCGTATATAATAATTATGAATCAAATAAAAGCTTCTTAATTATCATCGCTACAATCCGCCCAGACTAAGTAAAACTATTTGCGCAACAGTGTCTCAATCCTACAGCCAAATCCACAGGCATAGTACGTCTTTTATCCCAAGGGCGTGTAGATTAACCAACTCATGAAATTAGATCATTGTACATATGTATATAAAACCTTTTAAACTTTCTAAGTCTTACACTCTCATAGGTTATATATGTATTTTAGTATAATATTTTTAACTTGTAAATCCATTGTATTTCTATATGCCAAAGATGGATATCTAATAATAAAATTGAAAAATTGAATTAAAATGTACTACAATAATTGTCAAAGGAGTTGTCTGCAAGCCTGTATACATGAAGCAAATCTTTTATGTGTATGTATATAATGAACAATCAGACTATAGAAATTAAGGAGTGTGCAGAATGAATAATTATTTTTAGAAAGTTAACTATGTATAGATTATAAATAGAGAATAGTACATGGGTGGGCGGAAATACCAGATTTATTTCGAGTGTTAACACGAGAAATAAATCTGGTATTTCCAAGCACCCATGTATTTTTCTGTTTATTATATAAAGGACAGTCTTTGCCGAAATTAAAGCGATAATTTTTACAGAAAAGCGAAATTGAAAAGCGATAATTTTCACACGTGAGATTATCATGAATAATCTCACATGTGAGATTATCACTTTTATATATCAGTGCTCGAAATCTCTATAAAGCACTACGCTTTATATAATAATAATAAATACAGCATACATGACTGCACGTGTACAATTAATAAGACAGTATATTTTAAGTAAAGCCTAATTTCCATTTGGTCGTTAGTTGTCGCTGGCACGACAAGCGGTAGATGCATGTGAAATAGTATAATATAATAATAGTCTTTTTGTATGTGTTATATGCAAATCAGTCCTAATGATTGCAGAGTTTTATAAAGTTTTGTTGACGCTCTATTAGTTGACGTGCCAGCCGACAACTAACGACCAAATGGAAACTAGGCTTTAGCCAGTTTTAATTTATTAAATGTTGAAGGGGTTTTTGTATTGGGAATTTCGAGTACAAATTATATACATTTCTAGACCTAACCAGGAGCAGTTACGAAAAATGCAACTCTTAGTATTGACCCTCTGGCAGGAATCGAACCTCATGCGGCCCTGCGTTTTCGGTGCAGCGGAATCGCTGTTCTTCTATTCGACAACGGGCTCTGACTAGAGCTTGCGCATATGACCTTCAACCCCGGCCCCTTCCCGCGTACTGACTCTGGTAAACGAACATTTCTGTACAATGCTTCCATTCTTTTTAATTGCTTAAGGCCTGTTTACACTTGCAATTTTCACTGCGATTTCTACGGCGATTTTTTAAATCTCCAATGTAAACACCCTGCGATTTTGACTGCAACTTTGGTGCGATAACACTGCAATTTGCAGCGATTTTTCCATTTTAGTAGCTTGTAAACTGAATTAAATTTTCAATACACGACTCAAGTTCACAAACAATACAAAGATTTTGTTCTAATTAGGTTGTTTACGGCTGTTTTCTTATAAGTGATTGGCTGTAGAAAAACATTCCCGACTGTTCGTCGCCTGTTTTAGTTTATTCAATAAAAATACAGCGTATAAAATTAAAAGCCAAGGGATTTCTCTATTGAACTACCACTCGCGCACAAACGAATAGATCGAAACACCAGTTTTTGTTCTAAAGTTACTACAAAGACAAAGACCAAAGTGGACGCGGTAAATATTTATAGTATTGCAGTACCTCGTTTTTATTTCATATGTTATGGTTAACTGCATTCATATAGTAGATTTACCTGTGCAATATTGCTTTTGAAAACAGCGTGAAAGTGAATAAGTTTATGTTACTTGGCTTTGATAAACGCCTTTATTGAAGGTGACAACGCCTGCATTGAGGGGTACACAATCGTATTTTGTTCACATGAGCTTTTGAAAAATCGCAGCGAGTTGCGATAAATTTTGATCACGATCGAAATATTTGCAGCGTGTCGCAGTGAAGTTGCACTGGACTTGCAGTTAAATCGCAGGGTGTTTACACTGGCGATTTCATGTCGCCATCACGTCAGCAGAAAAAATCGCACTAAAAATCGCAGCAAAAATTGCAAGTGTAAACAGGCCTTTAGATAGCGATTGTAAGCAACTTGCTGCTTCGCCATCTTGCTCTCCATATACTAACGCCAAACAAAAAATTCGTAAAATCTTTCTTAACAAGCTTTACCTTACTAACCATATCGAAGATCTATTTTGTATAAATTGTAAATATTTAGCCTACTAAATTGTAATTGTATTCATTACTAATTATTTTGTTCTCAAATGTAAATAGTCGTAATCTTTAATACTTTTTATGTCTGTAAATATCAAAATAGTGCGAGGGCTGTATGTTAGATAACTTTTACGGTAATACGTTTTCCCTCGCGAAATAAAGTTTCTATTCTATTCTATTGTTGCTGCTCGCGTGAGGTCTAAAAATGTGTAAAATTCACACATGAAATTTTCATCTACAAAAGCCCTTTTCCCCAAATCCTGATCCGTGACTATATTTTTCGATCGTCCGGTAAACCCGACTGTCCCGACATTTCAACTTCTGAGAAAGTAAGCATGCATGCATGTTTAAATGCGTGAACCATTTTTATCAAATTCTGAAAAACTGAACTGATTGAAATAATCATTTGCGTAGAAGTTATACTTTATAAAATAGATTGTGACCTGCATTGCACAAAATCAATTTCATTTTGTTTTGATGTACAATTACACGCGCGACTAGACTCCAACTTGTTTACGACTGGTGGCACACAGGTACTTTAATTAAGTAACATAAGTAACATAAATAACGAACAATATAACTTGTCAAAATTGTTTAACGAAATGTTCGTGAACACAAAATCCGATTGTCTAGACTTGGATTAATCTGTTTGACACATTTGATAAACAAAAAGTGAGCATAATGTGTCCATTTTGAAATCAAATCAAGGTCGAAAAGCCATATAACAGTTTACCAGATTATCTCTATATCAAAATCATAGTTTACCAGATTTATGAGAGTGATAAAAAGGGGAGTTAACTCGTTTAGAAGGTAAGAGTTATTAATTATGGTGTACAATTTTTTGCAACACAGCTGTTGAAGAATTGGGCTCTGTAAGTCTAACATTCTACTTAGAAAAAGATATATAGATTAATATAAGTCGATATTAGACCTGCATGTCCTTATTCAACGCCCCCTGTGCAGATCCCGCCAATTAAACTTATATTCCTTGTGACAAAAAGCTGGATTGCACTGTTCAAATTTCTTTGATCGAGGTATAAACTTAGTAGGCTAAGTGTTTTGTCAAAAGTCTTTTTTCATCTTTGTCGAAGAAATACCTCGATATATTACCCATACTTATACTGTCATCACCATTAGTTATTCTGCAACTTGATTGGCTCTCTACTAACAGGATATTATATCTTATTGGATTCTCCTGAGCCCAATATGGCAAAATATTAAATCGAGCCTGATATTGAAGTTGAGATTTAATATATTTTGCATATTGGGCGAATATGAATCCAATAGGTATTTTATTATATCGAACAAAACAAGTCTATAACAAAACAATTATCTATGTAAGCGAGAATAATACAGCGACAATATTATCACATATCCGGCGGCGAATTTGCCTTCATAAGTAAACAAAACGTTAGTAAATTTGTTTTTAAAAACAAGTGTGGATATGAAATACACATGCATATATGTTTAAATTAAAGGTGGTCTGACCTAATTTTAACGAAATATTACAACCTTGCGACTGTTGTAATTTGTAAACAAATGGATTTCGCGAAGACAAGTAGTATTTCCGCGCTTTTATAATTTTAATTAATTAAACAAAATTGGGAGAAAAAACTGTCATAATATTCCAAATAGTTTTCATTACTTTGCCATGTCGCAGAATAACTGTTAAATATATCACTACAAAACTATATCAATCTAACTATCTACCTAACTAATTAACTAACTAACCAGATTTACTTTAACAGGTAACCTAGGAGGTTTATGAGCAAACAAGTACAGTATCGTTATTATCATCAACGAAGAAAAAAATGAAGACCTTTAGTTTTGAACAGAAGCTGCGCATGACCTTCTTCGCATTCTCGCTGAGGATGGTGCTCATGGGCGTCGAATTCGCCGTCATATTCCCGTCGGTCTGGCTTTATTTGAAAATATTCAACGCAGATTACTGGTATCTAGGCTTGGTACTTTCCGCTTACAACATGATCGGGATAATCTCAACTTTACTGGTCGGCCATCTTGCGGATAGTACGGGTCAGATTCGGTTCATGGGATTTCTCTGGAACATAGCCGAGATAGCGGGGAATTTGATATACGCCTTGCATTTCCACGTAGCATTTCCACTCATTGGTCGAATGATCTCGGGGTTCGGGGAAGGTTATATCTCGGCGATGTGGGGCGAAATTGCCCGAATCACCACCGAAGAGCAACGGACTCGCTACTTCGCCATTTTGAAAGGTGCTAACCTTCTTGGAACAGCCATCGGCCCGGCGCTTAATTTATTCTTGAAGGAGTTTGATTTCTATATCGGGCACTGGCATATCGATTTTCGGACTTCTTCTGGATTCTTTATGGGTATTGTATGGATTGCTGTGACAATAGTTATGTTGGGAATGGTTTTTGATCTCTCAGCTGAGTTGCAGAAGGCAGGGAAGCTTAAACAGTTTCAAAAAACAGGGCGTTTGGACATCGACGAGAAAGGGGGATCTATAGAAGACAGTGGAGTCAAAAATCCTGGAGGGGAAGACGAAGAGGTGAAGAATGAGGACGGAGGTATTAAAGGTTCAGAAGATGGAGGGGTCAAAGAACCAGAGAGAAGTGAAGAGGGACAAGCGGTGGGTGAAGAGACCAAAGATTGGGAAGATACAACGGACGATGGCACCTCTGAAAAGCAGGGAGGTAATGTTGAAGCTAAACAGAGCCAGGGCGGAGATGAACGCACTGAAACCGAAGAGCAAAAAGGTGAAACAGAAATGACAAAAGATTTAACCGAACATAAGGACACTAAAAGCGAAACTGAAGTTGTAGTAAAAAGCGTCGAAGAAGATGAACCCGAAGAACCGCGAGGAACTTTCAAGACGGCCATGTTGGATATGTTTACAAAATTCGAAGTCAACGTTTTGGTTTACTTGTTCTTTTTCATGTATGTCACTCACACTTGTCTACAAGGTATCACCCCATTGTTCGCCGAACTTATGTTGAAATGGGACGAAACGAAAATAAGCATAGTCTACACTGCCTGGGGCATTGAAATAATGTTCGTTCTGATTATAATATGGATAGTTGCACCGTATGTGGCTGATAGAGTTATCTTAATCTGGGCTGTTTTTGGTGGGACATTAGCTTCAGTAAGTCTTGTTGTGTTGACTTATTCCGAGCCTGAAAGTATGCTATGTTATTATAGTTTCCTTACCACCATATTCCTAGGAGGAATTGGTATAGCAATAACGGTAGTTGTGGGGAGGTCGTTGATTTCGAAGCATACCAGTCCCGAGAATCAGTGTTTGGTGCACGCTATTTTGACATCACTGAATCGTATGGCGGGACTAACAGGCCCTATATTTGGCAGTAGTCTGTACACTAATAAGATAGTTATGGGCTATCTCATCGGAGGAATGCAGTTCATTGGTTTAGTATTACTTCTCATTGTTTATAAGAAATTGTAACTTCAGAAACTCACGTTTGCATGCATATCACACGTTGGTAACAGCACTTTGCCGCTGAAGTGTTTAATATCCTGTGAAATATTCGTATTAATAAAAAAATAATAATAATAAAGATGTAGTGAGGACAAACACTGAGGACAAACTGTCAAAATAAGTGCAATATCAGTGAACTACCACAGAAAGCATTAGCCTGAGAAACAGGTCATTTTCCCTCCCTTAAATGCGGGTGGACGGATGGAAAAAGAGGGCCCGGCTGACACAAACAAATCCATGTCTGGTCGCATATAAAAAAGTCAAAATCCAGCTTTTCAGCTAATTGGTAGGTTAGAGCTAGCCAGCTAGGGCATATTAGAAACCGCTAAGGCTTTGCTCCAGAAACCTAGACTACTACTAAAGGAGACTACACCTAGACTACTACTAAAATTTAGTTTGTGTCATTTGGAAGAACTGTACTTTTAAAACAATTAATACAGATTTTTCACAGCCTTTTCATAACTTGCATGCATGATTCTTGAAATATTTTGATTGAAAACAATGGGCTGTCAGCCATCTTGGATTATTCAGGATATGCGCATGTTACATTACAAGTGGGGTCATGCAAACTCTTGATCTTAATTTATAAACTTTACAATCAACAAAACGATTGAAGGTACAGAGTCCCAAAATTAAGTCCTACCTACATATTACATTAACATTGTAAAACAATAGAGGTTACAACTTTAACAAAGCTACAATACAAAATTACAACACACGATCAATGCGTTCCAAACCATCCTTACACTTTCCAAAGTTAAATATGAACTAGACATGGACATATATTGCAATCCTTACAAAATTACAAAAAAAGATTTATACATATAGTTGAGTCAACATTGTTCAGCACAGACACAGTTACAGAATACAGTAAACATCCTAAACATGCATGTGCTCCAAGCTGTCCCTGCATTTTCCAAAGATACTACCATTTTCGAGCTTCCGTGAAGCGTGCATTTATAACTAGGTTTTAAAACGTTTCTTCAGCATGAGTTTGTCATTCAAAACTTTTTATTTCGCTCTTAAAACATTTTGTGTTGACATAATAACTTCTGTGGGCGTGGAGTAGAACATATTGTTTTGCACGCGAAACTTTGAATTTCGGCGTCAAAACTCAAAAGGGCACTTGTATTACAGAGGTTTGTTACGTAAACATATCCAGAAGGTGCTATAAATCTGTTATTTCGCTTTCTATAGCAATTTTGTCAGTATAAAGTCAGTCCGTGTGAAAAATAAGAAATTTTCGCGTGCAAAACAATGTGCTTGACACCACGCCCACAAAAGTTATTATTGCAAAACAAAAAGTTATGATTGACAAACTCATGCTGAAGAAACGTTTTGAAACGTAGTTATAAATGCACGCTTCACGGAAGCTCGAAAATGGTAGTATTGGTGCAAAAAAGCGTTTTAATTGCTTTAAGAAGAATTTGTCAGGGAAAATGTGTTTTAAACCTTAACTAAACTGATGTTAGTCCTGAAAAATTGTTTTGACCCCATTTTTATGTCCTGAAAAAATTTTAAGTTCTAACCCCCCCCCCCCGCGCCAAAAATTTTTGGAAAAAAAAAAATTCGAGCAAGGGATTATTAAAAAAAATAATCGACACAAGCAAAAAAGTTTGAAAAAATAATCGTACATGTTGCAAATGGACCACTCCCCATCATTTGCTAATGATCCATTCCTTATACGCTTCCGTACGCACGTGAACGCACGTGTATCCTCCCTGAACAAGCTAAACTTTTGCGGTGGGTAAAATACAAATAAACTAGAAGTTACTATCGCAAGGAAAGTGCTGTCTCACCCCTAAGGGATCAAAGACAGCATGCGTAATTTGCTGGATAAGGGGCTGTTTTATATATGATCCCGCTTTGCCATGACGAGATGTGAGCCGGGGTTATTTTGATGTATTGAAACAAGTCACAGTGCAAAATTCATTATTTTCTTGAGATAGATTAATTAGTTAACTGTAAACGAAACATAATAACAGTCTTCTGGAACTACAAGATCTTCTCCACAATATTTGAATTCTCTTAACCAGCATTTTAACTTTTGTTTAGCCTACTGACTTATTTCAACACATCAAAATAATGACATCCCACCTTCCATCATGTAAACAGCCCCTAAGACACCTGTTCAGTATGTAGGAAAAGTGCAATTTGAATATCAAACACCTTGCAAATTCGAACTGAATTGCAAGCAAAATCCCCAATCTCAGCCAAAATATTACATAAATCCGCAATCCGCTGTATTAATAAGATTGGTGGAATCCAACAACCTATTCACCCCCCCCCCCTTATAACTTCTTGCTTTTGTATGTACATTTATAACACTGTCAGTGGTGAAGTCATTGCAACAGATCATGCTATGCAAGTTTTTAATAATTTGCATTAGTCAAATAGATGCAGGTTTATTGGCGTGGCATGACCAGTTGCCATGGCAAGCTTGCCACTGAATATCAGACAAAATCATATTATATATAAATGATAATACTTGAATGAATCATTGGACATGTAGAATTTAAT